TGTGCATCTGAGAGTAAGAATAACAGTTTATTTTTAGCCTGAGCACCGACGAGATGAAAGCCATTGATCTGAGCTCATAATTACATTGTTATCTGTGCCCTACCAGATAAAGAGAGTTCTCGCTGCAGGCTTTTTGAAAAGCCGGGCTTGAAAGTGGATAGAAAAAGGATTTTTTTTTCAGTTGAGCTTCTCTGGTTTTGAAGTGAAATGTTAAATTGGGAAAGTTGGCTTTTATTTATGGGCTTTTTGTGTCCCTCCAGAAGATGGAAACCTGCGGAAGGTGTCTCTGCTCCCCAGTGCTCTCTCACGCAGGGCATGCTATGAGGGCTCTGAAACATGAACCAGACCCCAAGAACAAAGGTTAGAAGAGAGTGCTACAGGATGCTCACATGAGTTGGGTCCTTGGTGCTGCCATGACCTTCTGGAGCACGATACATCTATAAGAGGGGCCGTTTGGCCATAGGTTGCAATGAGAGGAGCAAGAGCCCAACTTCATCAACACCTTCAGCCCAGGAGAGGTCTGCTCCGCTCACTGGTCCTATTGCTTTGCCTCCTATTACACCGGCCGCTCTCCCAGCAAGGGACCTGCTTCCATGTCAACTGCTTAGCGTGGCCGTTGTGTTTTACAGCCCTCTCAATGAAGAGCAAATCTGTATTGATTTCAGAACAACTCGAGCTCTAAATTACCGGTCATGGTTGGCTTGGCCAGCGCCGAGGTGAGAATCTATTGATTGCACTGAAGGTCTAAATCTAATCAGCACGCAAGGAAACGGCTTGGAACAGCAGAAGGATTCAGATGTTCTGAGCTGTAATTAAAACTGGAAAGCCACCTACAAGAGCAGAGCATGCAAATAACTGCCCTGATCAAGCGCAGTTTGCAGTCCGAGGGCTTCCTTTACAGAGAGGCTGAGGAGAAAATGGGAGCAGAAATATCAATGGGGGGAACAAAGGAGCCTCTCTTATCCCCTTGGATAAGAGGGGATAAGGTCTAAAAATGCCTCTTTCTCTCTTTGGAAGCGCTTCCCATTTAGAAGTTCACAGCCAACCACAGCTGGTGCTGCCTCATCCCCAGTCAAACAAGGCAGCGTCTTAATCACAGGGGATATGGGGATGGAGCTGGTTGGACTCTCCATTGGGATCCCTGCTGGTCACTGGCCACACCAACTCCAGGAAAGAATCTTCTGCTGCAAAACACTAATGAAAGGAAGTTAAAGCTCAAGTTTAAGACTGCCAGACATCCCTGGGAACTGTTGCTTTCAGGAGGACAAAGACCCGACTATTTCTTGCTACTAAAGGTCTGGAAGAGAACAAGCTTTAGCAGCAGAAAAAGGGGGATGCACTTGGTCCTGCGCAGGGAAGAGCTTCTGCCTCAGAGCTCATCTCAGTCTCCCCTCTGGCAGGTTAAAGCCATTCCCCTTGGCCTGTCCCTACATCCCTTGTCCCAAGCCCCTCTCCAGCTTTCCTGCAGCCCCTTTAGGCACTGGAGCTGCTCTGAGGTCTCCCCTTCAGGAGCCTTCTCTTCTCCAGGCTGACCCAGCCCAGCTCCCTCAGCCTGGCTCCGGAGCAGAGCTGCTCCCTCCCGCATCCCTGGAGCATCCTTCCGGCACCTCCTGCCCGCCCTCCTTCCCGTGCCAAACCTGGAGCATCAGTGCCATCTGCTGGCGGCTCTGGGTATCGCAGCCGGACCCGCCGCGGATCGGCTCCGGCCCCGGGTACCGGAGGGCGGTGGTGGCCGGGCGAGGTGGTGTCCCCGTGGGGCATCACCTCCCTGAACCCCTCCGGGCGCTCCCACCATCCCGGTGAGCCCTTCCCTTGGGCCAGCCCCTGGTGATCGGCTGGAAGCAGGACCTAAACCTGCAAAAATTAAACAATAATAATAAAAATAATCAAATTATTAATAATAACAATAATAATAATAGAAAACAACAACAAAAATCAGAGAAACATTGCTTGGGTGGTGCAGTGCCTGAAGGGGTATGTCTCTACAACAGGAGCTGCAGCTACGCAAGGGAATGTCTCTTTCTCTCCCAAACCGAGGAGAAGGAGGGCCTGGGGTGTAAAGAAGAGCAACAAGGAGGTTGCATTACTCAAGGGATGGGTTTGGATCTTGAGGCAAAGAAAGCACCTGAGCGAAGCAGCAGCCACCACTGTGCGCTATGGTCTTCCCGGCAGCGTGTGCCCATCACACTGGCACCCGACAAGACGCAAAGGTCTTGATTGCACACGAAGGATCGATGCCCCCAGAATGCGAACCCATCCCCATTGCCCCCAGGGGTGCAGGAGAGTCAGAGCTGGGAACCTTCTCTACCACCCCAACCTCCTCCTTCACCATCCTGAACCCAACCCAGCTTTCCAGCACCCCCAAGCCCACCATCAACTCCCACAGCCAGCATGTTTGCCCACCTCTCCCAGCCCATGGAGCTCATAATTCCCCCAGGGAGTGAAAGAAGACAAAAACCATCATGGGCTGGTTTGTTTTTTTTCCTTTTCCAATAGTCTCACTTTATTAGATACCACATCAAGAGAGGATGTGCTGCATGCAGCGGAAGACTGGAGCAGTTCTAGTTCCTGTGTAACATCTTCTTCTTCTCTTAATAGTTGTAAACTGAGAGTTTGCTGTAAAATCACTGCATGCAAGTTTGAATGCAAACAGCAGAAGAGGCTTTTTGCTCTGGTTTCCACCATTCCCAATCCCTAGGTGCATGCTTTATTTACAACAAAAAGAACTCATTCAGGGCAGGAATTCCCATCGGAAAAACGGAGAAGAGGGTGGCAGAGACAGAGGACTGGGGTTTGCTCAGTACCAATGGGGGAATTGGCAAGATGCACTTGATTTGTGTGGGTGCAAAGAGATGCTTTGAGTGTCATTGGTCTGAAGGGAAAACAGGCCGAGGGGGAATGGCAATGCAGGACATGGGTAAAGGCAACCTTAACTTAAATGCTCCACACACACAAAGGAGGCTGGGCCGCTCCAGGTCTGCAATAAATCAAGGAATTGCTTGGATTTTGGCTTTTTCCCCTTTTGGAAGGTAATTTCAGCCCTAAGCCCACGTGGCCCCAGCACAGCTCTGAGCCCAGCTGCTGCTCTGAGTGCCACAGGCGGGTTTTGGCCATTCTGAAGGGTACAACAGCAGCATCCTGCAGCTAAACCATCACTTCCCACGGGAGCAAGGGTCCAGGCACAGCTGCATGGGACACAGAGGGAAACGATCCAAAAGAACAGGGTTGTTTCCATCTTTGTCCTCCACACAGCCTGCACGGAGGCCAGCGTGGCTCAGGGAACCTGGGGACATTGCACTTATTGGTGCGGGGTGGAGAGCTGCCCAAGAGGAACAGGAATAGTCTCAGTGTCCTCTCCCATTGCACTTCTCTGTGCATCGTGCCCCAAGCAGCCACAGGATGCACCCAGGGTGATGGAAGAGCTTATCCCAGCTCAGTCTGAACGGAGCAGAGGATGCACACGCTGGTTGAGGTTTGTTCTCCCCATGCGTGGTCCGAGGGTGGAGAGCTGGGGCTAGGGAGGATGCAGACTTCCTTGGAGGAGCGAGCCTGGAGCTAGGCTGGGGTAGGGCTACTCTGCAGCAATGCTTTGCATGCAGGTGTTAGCATCAGGCAGTGATGTTGGCATCGCTCAGCCCATAACCCCACCAGCTGCAGCATCCCAGCCCTGCAGAGAGGCTCACTGTAGGTCAGCACTCAGCAAGCTCTGCTGGGGGAAAGTTAGGGGGGGGAAATAACATCAAGAATAGGAAAATAACTCATCTGATTCAAAAGAAACAGCTCTGCAGCACAGCTGAACTGAGAACAGGCCACATGCCAGCAGCCTACAGCAGAGGCTGCAATGGAAGTCATGGGAGAGGAGCATGAACCAAGGCGCTGGGGCTCGGGTTCCATACAACATGCACAGAGTGAAGCTGACCAACACTATGTCCCAGTAGTGCTTATTGTGCTACCATCAACATGGCTAGGCTTGAGGCTGTCCAGAGACAGCAAGTGGCACCAAACCTGATCAGCATCAGTCTGAACACGCCCCGATGCTCCTGCTATCGAGAACCAATCAAGCACCTGCAGAGGATCATGAAAGCAGGTTTCAGATCATGACAGACTGAAGGCTGGCTGTTGAAGACAATGGTGCTTGTGCAGATGGGAAAGGAAAGTAAGCAAGCAAAGTAAAAACCAAACCCCAAAGTTTGGGAGCCCTCTCCCTGTTCCAGCCAACTTCAGTATCTGTGGTACTTCAAAGCAAGCATCCCTGCGCACATCAGCTGCTTGGTGGGAAGTATCATCTCCCTCGGCTTCCCTCCTGCATCTGGTAGGGCAAACAGTGGGCAGCAGAGAGGGTGGTCCAAGGAGGGCCCAGGGGCTCAGTACTATGTGCTAGGATGTGAAGAGGAGGTAGTCACAAGCTCGAAAGAGGGGTGGGCTCCTGTAGCGATGGAGCCATGCGTGGTGGTTGGAAATGAACACAAACCAGCCCAAATCTCTGTTTCCCTGCGAGCACAGAGTGGCTCCCTATTTCTCATTATTATTAGTGGATCTTCTCAGCAAAGGATGTACCACGATATTGCTCAAGTGTGCCAAATCAGAACTAAAGCTCAAGCAGGACTCACAGGATTACATCAGTGATGCAGGCTTTAGCCTAGTCACGACAACACAGATACCAGGCTACGGTTACGACCCACACCAAAGCCAAACAGCTTTTTCATTATTGCAACTGAGGTATCGATATCACACAAGCAGAATGGGCTGATGCTCCCACACCAGTGCTCAACCCCACCACTGGGAGATGAAGGAGCCACGAGCCAGAGGTGATGGGCTGGAGGAGCACGGAGCATCACACACACACACACACGCACACCAGGGATGCTACCACGTGCGTGAGACTAGTGAGGAAGAGGAACAGTCAGAGGGTAACTATTGCTTGACAAAGTTACACAACGGGGTATTTCAGTGGCACCCCCCCCCATCACCCCCCAAAAATAAAGGAGGAATAGAATATATAAAAGATCTGGGTTAGTTTTCAGGTGGGAGTGAGGACAGGGCACAGGGGATGCTCCGAGGGGGCAGAAGAGCAGCGCTGCCCCGGGACCGGAGGTGTGTAGCAAGGCATGACTGCGCTGGAAGACGGACATCAGAGATCTACAGGGGCTTGGCAGAGGATGGGCCACTTGGGGAGGCTTGGGCAGCAGCTGCCTTTAATCACTGGCAACGTGGTTCTCGTTCTGGAGGGTGTGCCAGCGCTCAATCTTCTTGTCCTTGTTCTTCAAGCATTCATACCAGTGTTTCAAGCGCTCCCCCTTAGCCGTGATGCCGAGCTGACAGCCGCCTGGAAGGAAGGGAGAAGAGGAGATAATCGTATTCAGAGATGGTGCTGATGGCCCAAAAGTCACTTCCAGAGGGGCAGATCCCGTATTTGCAGTGTTTCTTTCCACCTCCTGGATTTAAACTCTCATGGAAACAAGCAGAGATTCTCTACCTGCACAGAAGCCCCCATGGGATGCTGTGGATGGGGAGCACAGTGGGTGTACTCTATGTGACAGCCTCATACAAGCACCCAACCAACTTGCACGGTCCCACCTCAAGGTTCCTCTCATGGCAGGTGCCCTATGCATCCCTCCGGTACAGGGTGTCAGGACCATACCCCGGAGCACAGAGACTTCAGCTCACCGATGTAGTCATTCGATTTTCCAATGTCATAATCCCAGACAGAAATGTCCAGTGATTTCTTGGCCAGGTCGCTGTGTTTGATATCATAGAAGAACTCCTGCGGAAGGGGAGCATCCACATCACACCAAGCATCCCAGGAAAGGACACCCAGAAAACCCTCCTTCCCTCTGGCACCTCTCCTGCCAGGATCACAAGCCCCTAAGATGAGCTCGCCCCTTGTATCTGAGCGAGCACTTTGCTGCTGTCCTATGAAAGCAGCACCGACCACAACATACGGATGCTCATCCCACCAACCCCCTGGCCACGGTGACATGGAGCTGGGAACAGGAAGGCCTCAGTGTGCCCAGTGCTGCCCAGCACCGAACTGGTGACGTCTCCCATGGTAAAGCCATTCCTAGCCTATTCCTGGCTGCAGAAGGGGGAAAAGGAACCAAGCCTCAGGGAGTTCGTCTTCCACCTCCACACAACGTAGCAATTAGCTAAGTTGATTTAATCACATAAATAAATAGACCCCTCCTTACCTCATTAAACTCGGGATTCAACGTTTTCTTCTTAATCTGTGTCTTGTGCTTGGCCTTTTTGCCCATGTCAGGTTTCAGCCAACTGGGGGCAACAGAAAACAGCTCAAAACTCAAGCGCAACAACAGGGGAAGCTAAAAACCCCAGAGCTTTGGGGCTAGGAAAAGCAGCTGACGGTATTAGCGAAGGTATTGGCCAGTCTGGCTCCGGAGCCTTCTCATATCATCTAAAACCAATGGAAAATGGAAAACCCAGCCAAGAACATGAAACGGGGAGAGAAATGGAAAAACCAGCCCATTAGCAATAGCAGGCAGACTGGTGCGCTCAGCTGGGGCAGGCTCACCTACAGAATGTAGGAAGAACTAGGGGCTTTGCAGCCTGGCTGCAGCCCCAGAACTACGTTGCAGGCTTGGTATTAATTAGATCTACGCTGGAAGCTGGTTTTACCACAGGAAAGCACCATCTTCCGCTTGTGGGAATGGGAAAGGTAAAGAAAACCAGAGGGAGACTGAGAAGGAGACCGGCTCGGTTCCACTGCGCTGCGGAAGGATGTGCAGAATGTTCAACATGAGGGTTATTGAGTGAGTTTTAGGGAGAACAGAGGTTTGTTCTGAAGGCACAGAGAAAACAGCAATGAAACCCGCAACCAGGAATGGCTGCAGGGTCCTCTCCGTGTCACACCTTATGAGGTTTCAGTTAGAACAATCTGGTTTGCCCGTGTTCACAGGAGGCACCCGACAAGCACCACTGCTCGAGGAGACCTGCTCCATGCCACAACAAGGCAGCACCAGCATGAACCACGCGGGTACCGCTGCCTGTGTTCATTAGGGTGACCTGCTTGCAGCGGGGACATGGCACAGGACAGGGACAGGCACAGCAGGGCAATCCTGGGCTCCCACCTACAACTGTGTGAGCTTATAGGGCTGCAAGTGAGGCACAGGCTCCTTGTCGCGCGTGGAGGGACATCAAACCACCCCTGCCCTGCAGCCATGGTGGGTTACAGCTGGGGAGAGGGTCCTCTTGTCCTCCAGCTCTGCAATGGCTGCTGGGTCTGGGCATTAAGGAACCTATGGGGAGTGCATGGAGCCAAGGGCTGGGTCAGCCTCACTTAGCTTCAGCCACGGTGGGGCATTACCACCTTGCACAGCATCACTCCTGCGTGAGGTCTCGAGGTGCTTGGGAAACGCTCTCCTGTCTCCAGTGGCTTTGGAAGGAGGTCTCAGCCCACCAGCTACTCCCCAAGGACACTGGGGGGCCCCAAGCCCACCTGTCACCACACTGAAGCCACCCCCAGCTCCCGCTTACAGCTTAACGAAGGGGTCTGAGTATCCGTTGGCATCCATGGCTGCCAGGTGCACGCAGCGGACGATGCCCACAATCAAGCCGCCCTGCTGGGTGCTGTACATGAGGGACACGAGGATCTTGCCACGCTCCTCTATATCCCCACCACGATCTACCTGCAAGAGGAAGCAGCCAGAGGTGGGGACATGGGGGCTGAGCGAGGAAGACTGCCAACTGCAGAGGAGGTGAGACGAGAGGGATAGAAGGGAACCTTGTACCCCCATGAGGGGGCTCATACATGAGATGATGGACGAGCGTGTTGCTCTCCAAGGACTCTTACCTCCTCTTCGTACAGTGCCATCCCACGGGATGAGCCGGTTGTTCCAGCACGCTTCATCTTGGATGGGGAAGGGAAAGAAGAGACTGCAATGAGGGAATGCACGTGGAGAGGCACCATGCTATGGCAAAACCAACCCCAGGAGCCCGGCCCAGCTCTTCCACTGGACGCAGGAGTGGAAGGGGCTCGGATGTGCTCATCTGCTCCATCAACCTCCAGAAGACTCAGCACTGGGGACTGGAGGCTTATGGACACAGCAACCAGCTCTCTCCTCCAGTTTGACATATACCAGCACTGGCCAACAACATCAGCAGATCTGCGACCAGAGAGGTCCCAGAATCACTTCCCACCACACTCTTATCTCCCAGCCTTCGTGTATCACATCAGCCCACACATGGGTGAGAATCCAGGTCCTGAAGCTGCCAATGAAGTCAGGCACCTACAGCTCCGGGCTAGCTCCAGCTCCAAGCTCATCACTAGCTCCCTCACATGCCATTTGTTATCAACCTCAACATTACTGGGAGCAGCAAGGGATCTCACAGGAACTCACTGGTATTACTCTCTCCAGGCAGATGTTGAAGTTCTTTTTCTGATTGGCTTTGATTTTCTTCAAGGAAACTCGAGTCTCTCCAATGAACTCATTGTGGCCAAATTTGTCTTCATCACACACGGAGATCCTGATGGGAATGGGAAAGGTGAACATCAACCGGGCTGGAGCAGTGCCTGGCTCCAGAGCACAAACCCACTCCCGCGTTGGCAGTGCTCAAAGCCTCCATCCACCTGGCTCTCCTCCGACCAAAAGCAGTCAGAAAACTCCACTTTTTAATATGTGCATATATACATACATGCACTATACAAATCTCTATGGTAACAAAAATAATAGTAATGCTAATAATATTAAATGACAGGGTTGCAATGGCTTTCTCTTTAGAAGGACCATCAAAATCAGCGCGTTCACACGAAGCATGGCGATTTTAACCAAAACCTCTGCATTTTGCTGCCAGTGCCCTCCTGAGGAAGGCTGGCTTGTGATGCTGCACGCAAGGAGCCTCATAGGTCCCCATCCCACCCCACTGTGTGATATCCCAGCTCCTCTGCTTGCCTGAGGGTTTTCCTTTGCATGTCCTCATCCGTGATGCCGTGGTACACCAGGGTCTCATTCCACACAGGGTTGCGGGTGTTGCGCAGCGTCTTCGTCCTCAGCTTGTTTGACTACAGCATCAAACCAGAACAGGGCATAATCACACCCCTCATCTTCTCCCCACCTAAACTTCAGCTCCTGGCAGAGTATTAAATTAGATGCTCCATCACTTCTGGCTCACAAGAGATGGTTTGACTGGGCTCTGCAGGACATCGCTGCTGCCTGCTGAGGCTGTCGTGCCGGTGAGCCATCAACTCCAGGTGAGCATCACTGACCTGACAGGGTAGACCTTTATACAAGCACATAATAAAGCACCTCAGCCACCTGCAGTGACCAGGGCAGGCTTCATCACCCAGCTTTATTCACTGCCTGGGATCTAACCCCTCAAGGACACTTGTACAAGGAAAAGTTGCACAGGGCAACAGTGCGGAGCTTGGATAAGGGCTCTTGCGGTCTAAAGGAGATGGCAGCTTGGGAAATGAGGAGCTCTGCTGCTTGTGCACCAAGATAGATCACCAAACAAGAGAGCAATGGAAATCAAAGCATCTCCCAAGGTCACGACACCAAGCTTTACCCTGCACAAGAACAGAAAGTCCCCACACATAAGGTAAACCTGTAAATGTCAATTCAAAGAGTCAGAGAATGCCAGACTGGTTTGGGTTGGAAGGGACCTTAAAGCTCATCCAGTCCCAACCCTTGCCACGGGCAGGGACCCCTTCCACTGGAGCAGCTTGCTCCAAGCCCCTGTGTCCAACCTGGCCTTGAGCACTGCCAGGGATGGGGCAGCCACAGCTTCTCTGTGGTTTTATTGTCAGTTTCCCCCCTTCTTTTACATTTAGTTCCTCTGAGCAAATCCCTGTTATTTCTTCACAGCTCTATCCAGGACGTGCTGCAGCTTCAAAGCAAACGGATGGTTCCAACTCTGGTAATAACTAGAATTATCGTCAGATGTTTTGTGATGCATTGACAATGCCACCTCCTCTGGAGCTCCCCTCCATCCCTAAAGCAGATCCCTGCCTGCAGGATGAGCTGTTCCTTGGGTATGGGAGAGCATCTGCAAGCATCGCTTTTCAGAGATACTCCCCAGGTAAAACAGCACTAGCGAGTGACTATGCAAGGAAAACAAGGGGAGAAAGTGATGTGAGAAGGGACATCAGGGGGCTTTGAGAAAGCTCTGCTCCATCCCCAGCCCAAAACACCCCAAACCAGGTAAAGCCTCACCTTGCTGGCTCCAGGCAAGAGGTGCAGTTTGACGTAGGGATCCGCCAGGCCATTTGAGTCCATTGGTTTTAAGCCCTAAGAGATAATAAGGAGAGAATGGTGCAGGAATCCTCCTTCAGAAGAGCCAGGGAATAGAAAGCAGCACCCATGAAGCAACTGAGCCAAGAGCACCATCTGTCAGCGGCCGCCCTGCTTCCATCTCATTGCACTGGGAGCTGGGACCCAGATGAGCTTAAACTGGTGAAAGAAGGGGGAAAAGAGGCACTTACTTTGGCCTTGATGAGGGTGCAGTGCAGGGAGCTGTTCTCCTGGTCATAGAGCAGGCTGAACTCCAGCGCTCCCAGCGTAGCTGATGGACAGAGGAGGAGGTGGAAACAGGACCTTGTTACAACCCCAGCCAACAACTGTGTGTAATCAGCCCTGATTAGTAACGATTAGAAGGATTTGTGGTTCAAATGTAAAAGCCATTTAGTGCACGTGAGACTGCTGGCATCAGCCAAACTGCCACACACAGATCCAGCCAGGCCAGAGAGCTCCGGTCATCAGAGCTTTACAGTGGTAGAACAACCCAGTTTGGGGCTTTTGATTTCAATATTCCCCAGGCAAAGGAGGATGTAACCCATCAAACCCTTCTCAGGGCAATGCCACCCCAGGACCTGGGGGCCAGCATCTCCTCCCAAGGCTTGGGGCTTGGTGTTTAGCCCCCATTTGACTTGTTGGAAACCAGCTCATGCTTGTCTTCACCAGAGCATAAAACCACTGTGTCACAGCTCAGTGATTTGGTGCAAAACCTATTGAAGATCCCACAAGCAGCACTGAACTGAATAGGGACAGCCTGTGAGATCCTACCCTGGCTCCAAGCAGCATTCCCCAAGGACAATCCCTGCCAGAGACACACAACCTGAGCCACAGTCCTGCAGCAACCACCTCAAAATCCCAGTTTCCCCAAAGAATCCTCTCCCTCCCCTCTGGGTACATACTGCCTTCATCAGAGTCGTAGCTGTTGGCATCCTCCTCCTCTTCCTCCTGGGGCGGCTGCCGCTGTGGGGCTGCGGACACCGGCTGGATGGCAGATGCCTGTGGGATGCTGGATGCCGGTGGGATGCTGGATGCCGGTGCGATGGCCGATGGCTGCCGGGCCGGCCTCTCCTCCCTGCCGGGGGGCACGGTGTAGCCCCCTGCTCGCTCCTCCCTTGCTGCAGCCCGGGCCATCTCCGGGGGTCCCAGTGGTGGGCTCGCTGCAGGAGGGACCCCATTAGCCCCCGGCACACTCCGCGCCCCCCCAGCCCCTTGCAGGCAGCTGCATTTACCTTGTCTCTCCGGGAACCGGCCTGCCGCACCGGGACCGGGTCTTCCTGCTGCCGGCGGGGCTGGGATAGATGCAGCGTTATCAGGGCGCTCGCCTCTGTCCCTCCATCCCCGTCCAACCCAGCACCAGCACTGCCCCAAGCAGGGGGGACCCTTCCCATGGATGCGCTCCACCCCGCGGATGAGCATCCTGGCTGCATCCCCAGCGCATCCTACCTGAGGGCGCTGCTGGACCAGGACCGGGAGCGGGGCTGGCAGCGGCTGGTGGGGGTGGCCGTGGGGCTTGCATGGAATTGGTTCTCTTCACGCCTGCAAGGAGAGGATCTGTGTTGAGGAGGGGGTTAGAGCTGGAACTGGCCAGGGAAAGGCAGCAGAGAAGAGAGGGGTATGGCTGATGTGTTGGAGGTGGCTGCGATAACAGCTCAGCCCCAAGTGCTTTTGGGGACAGTGCTGCAGGGAGTGGGTGCAGCCTGGGCTGGACCAGGGAGCATTTCATGAGGGGACCCCATGCTGTGCTGATCTGCCTGCAAAAGAGGGAGACACAGGAGAGCTGGAACAAGGAAGGTGGATGCATAACAAGGAGGATGCACATGGCTGCGGCCAGGCACTGGTCCGAGCTGGAGGGTGACAAACCCATGAGCATCACTGCAATGCCCATCACGCCCTGTCCTCCAAACAGCAGCAGTGCCTCAGGACCACCCCCTGCACAACATCCCCCAGGGTGCATGGACATCCCAAGGCAGAAACAGCACATGGGTGCACAAGTGTTACCTGCCCCAACACGAATCAAACCACCAGCTCCCCCAGGAGCTATTATCCCACTATCCTGCCATGAATATCCCTTTCTTTCTCAGGGAATTAAAGAGGATTTGGACATTTTCCAGCCATTTTTAGCTGCATCAGCTAAATGTGCAAGCTCAGCTCCTAGATGAAAAGAGGTCTCTGGAAGTGCCTCTGCCTTTCTGGAGGCATCTGCAGAGGATGCAGGCACTGCTGAGCCCTGTCAGGCACCCGTTCCTATCACAGCCATGTACAATAGCTTGGAGCACATTAAATGTTCCTGACACGACGTCCCCAGCACAAGCTCCCACAGGCACATGTCTGCTCCTTCAGCAGCTCCTCAGGGGACACGTGCCCACCCCAGCAGTGACAGGGTGGCGTCGCAGCATGCAAAATGCTTCTACTTTAGCGTCCCAACTCAGCTGCATTTCATCTCTGCTTAAAATTAGCCTGGTAAGCACTGAGCCCACTCCTCTCTTCACTTAGAGCTCTCACGTCATGCATGCGGCTTTTCAAATCCACGTCTTTGCATGAGCCATAAGACACCCCCTTTGCAGGGAAAAGCACAGCAGGCTCCCTGGGGCAGGGATCTCCCTGGTCCTGCCAACACTCCTGACTTCACCACCACCACCAAACTCCACAGAGCAGTGGAAAACCTTGGTACCAGCGTTCAGCACCCTCAGCATCCCTTAGTGCTGCGCGCTGGGCTGCTGGCTTGGTGCTCCCCAGCCCTCTGCTCCCGAGCACACAGCAGCACGCAGCAGAGCGGCTCTCACCAGGGCTCCTGTTGACCCCGCTCTCGGCGGCGTAGTCGCGGCTCTCCGTGTCCCCACCGGTGCTGTCGCTGCCGCACGGGCCCTGCCTGCCCTCGGCTGCCTTGCGGCCCGGCGCAGCGTGGCTCCCCCTGGCAGCCGCTGTCGCATCGCTGCCTGCAGGGAGAGGGATGGAGGCCGCCTTGAGGCTCATGTCCCGGCCACCCACCCAGCCCCAGCCCCAGCTTGGGTGATGCCCAGCCGGGGTGTCAGGAGGAGGATGGGTACAGCCACTGCAGCATCGCCCCCGGAGCACCATCCGGCACCTATGCAGCAGCAGCAGCAGCAGGGCTCTGCACCATCAAACCTGCGCACGGTGCTTGGGAAAGGACGCAGCAAACCATGGGGAAACAATGAGGCACAGAGGAAGAAAGCCCAGAAGCACCCATCAACTGGTCCTCAGTGCACATCAAACCCCTAATGCATTACAGCTCCAGGTCCCCAGGACAGGGGGCTATTCTGCTTTTGCTGATCATCTTCCATTTGTTAGCAAGACCATGGTGACAGCTGCCTTTGCCTCACTTCCATCCACCAGCAGATAAATCCCAGCCACACACTCCAGGGTGCTGAGACCACTTCACAGTGATGAATTGCAACCCACAGATATGATGGGAAAGGTCTCGGCGCTCACCTGGCTTGTGCCGGAGGCTGGAGGTATAAATCTTTGCTGTGACATAAATGGGATGTTTATCCTTGCCTGGGCTCTCAGGGTCAGCGGGCACAAGGAGAAAGCGAAACGCAACAGCTTGGAGGTGGGGGAGAGGAGAGGGGTAGAGATGCTGTGATGCTGAGGAGGAGGGAGGAGGGGAACGAGCATCCACCACCAGGAGCCCCGTGGTGCACAAATAGCGATGTCATAAGTAATTTTCCAAGGGAGCTTTAGGAAAATCATGGGTCTGTCACGAGCATGCTGATGGGAGAGACCTGACAAACCCCCCCACCCCAACTGGTGGCTTCATAAAATCAGCCTTTTGTGGAGCAGGGAAGCTTAAGGGCACCGGCTACCGTCGTGATTAAATAGTCTTAATTAAGTGGCTTCCCCAACTGCTGCTGCCTGGGAAGATGAAGATCATTGCTTGGCACAACCAGGCTGGGCTCAGCTGGAGCTCACCACCAGCACTCTGAGCTGTGGCCAAGCCTGGGTACCCCCTGCCATGGGTACCTCCAATGGGCTCACCCTGACACCAGCACCCCCCAGGTGTGTAGGGTACATCCTCACTGCAAGCAGTGCTGCAGGATGGAGGCAGCATGGATCAGCACAAGGCTCTGCCCACAGCCCTGCCTGCAGCCAAGCCCCAGGCAGCTGGCCCTGGGAACCAGCCACTAAAGCCTCCCCTGCCCCACAGCCGTCTGCCAGGGGGTATTGCTGTCACAAGTGACCCTGGCCTAAAGGAAGGGTGGGATGGAGGGGACTACTCTGGAAGGGGTTTGTGTCCTCAGCCCCTCGCTGCCTCCTGCACACAGCCAAAGGAGGAAAGGAGGAGAGAGGAAGAGGAAGGTTTGCATTGCAGTCACTAAGCTATTCCCAGCCAGGAGCAGCCGGTGCTGGAGGGGGATCAGGCAATCTCATCACCTCGGCACTCTGATGCCAAACTGGAAATGAGGGCTTCCTCCGAATGAACTCCCAGCCACACAGCCTGTCTGGGAGCATCCCTACACCCGGCTCCTGCCAGTGCTGGCAGCAGTGTCTGCAGGATGCGGGTCTGGAGCATCACAAGAGGTTAGAAAGATGAGGAGCATGGCTTTGCCCTGGTAAGCAGCAGGCACTGATTGCTGCTGCCTAACACAGCCCCCTCGGTCAGCATCACTTGAACGTGCCCTTGGGGGGGCTGCAAATGCTGGAGAGAGCAAAGTTAATCCATAAAACCCCATTGCTGCGTCCTCACCTTGCTCTGCTGCACATGCATGGTACAAGCCTTGGCGCAGGGCACCAGCATCGAGAGCTGCAGCGGGGAGAAACCCAACGTCCCCATCTCTGCTGCTCCATCCCTGGCTAACATGGAGCCCCTTGCAAGCTTCCTAAAGTTTCCAGGGGAGGTTTCCTGAGGACTGCCATTAAATAACCACAAAACAGCTTCCAATCAGCAGCAGGAAACACCACCTACGAGGCAATGCAGCTCAGCACTTTCAACCACAGCGCTTCTGCCCAGGCGTGTGCAGTAGGTGGGGGAGCCCCAGAATAGCTCTGTCCCCAGGCGATGGGTGGCAGCAGCAAGGAGAGGTCCCGGCTGCAGCCTCCCATGGGAAACCCTGCGGGAAAACACCGCGGGGACGGCAGGGAAGGAGAAAGGGGGGCTCAGCACCGAGGCAGCGGCACAGGGGAGGCTGCGGATGCCGGTGCTTACCATCGGAGTCCTGCTCGGCTGCGGGCCTGGCGTCCGCCTGGCCTTGGGGGCACAAACAGAGCGAGAAGTGGTGAAGCTGCAGCCCGCCCGCCCCACCAGCACCAACCCGGGACCTGCTGCTGCTCTTTCCCCATCTTCCCTCTTTGATTCTTATTTCCCTAGGCTTCTGCATCACCATTCACACCCAGGCACTGTCTGAGCCCCCAGCCAGGCTCCTCATACCCACCCAGTGCTGCTTTGCTCAAGGATGTCCCTGCAAACCCGACCATCCTGACTTAGGCAGCCCAAATAAAAAGGCAGGGAGGGCAGCAGAGCCATTTCTGCACCCTGCAGAAAACAGCTCCACAGCTGCTCTGGATGCTTTTTGCTAGCGCTTGTCCTTGCTAATGATGGGAGGAGACCCAGCACCCCTGCCCCTTGCAATGAGAGACAGCATCTGCTGCCACCTACCTCGGGTGGGCGCACGGGACGGGGGTTTCTGGTCCTGGCTGGGTGGCTCTGATGGGCTGGGTTCGCTGGGGGCTTGGGGTCCCTTGTTCTTGCTGATGGGCATCGGCTGGGGCAGCATTTGCTTGGGCAACCCCTTGAAGAACCAGGCGCCGGAGCGCTTCCATACCTGGAGGGGGAAGCAATGGGATGGAACGTGCCTCGGGGGGATGCTGCTTGCAAACAGTCTTCATTCCCTGCATCACCGGGGTCCCCCTCCAGCAGGAAACAGGGAGCAGATGCACTCCCATATCCCCCTGCCCTGCAGCCACCTTGCTAATGAATAAACTCTTCACCTTTTGCCCCCTGTAGATGGCAAGGAGCTGATCTCTGGCCCCAACAGCCTCTTCAACCCCAAGAAAAATAGTGGAATTTTATATAGAAAACAAGCTCATCCCATAAGAACCAGGCTCAAGCAGCTGGGCAAGGCTTAGTGGTGCAGGGGGAGAGGCTGGAAGTCTCTGTGAGCATCCCCCAGTCTGGAGCCTGGGGTTGGGACCATGCACAGGATGAAACCAAGGGCAGGGGCCACGGTGAAGCACCAGGGATGCTGCACTCACCTCCCGCTGCTCGGAGCAGATCTTGCAGAGCCAGATAGCGTGGGGCCGGCTGTTGGTGGTCTCCACCCCGCACTTGGTGCAGACGTTCTGCAGAGGAACCAAAGGGTTTCTGGATGCCATCGAAAGGTGCCAGCACACCGGCACCAACCCCTCGGGAGCATCAGGTTAATGAGGGCTGGTTAAGAGCAGCTCCCCCGGTCAGGGATTGCGGATGGATGTCCCCTTGTGCCGTGAGCGGTGGGATGCTGGCAACGGACCCAAAGAGCGAGGTGCCCAGTGGGGGTTATCCGTGTGGGTCCGGGGGCACAGGGAGAGCTCTCACCTTCTTGCAGTCCTCGCACACCACGCAGGCGGATCCCCGTGGGCCCAGCTGCTCCCCGCAGAGGATGCAGCGGTTCACGCCGTCCCCCAGCACGCTCCGGCGCATGTCCTCCAGCCGGGTCATGAGGCGCCTGCAGGAAGGGGGACAGGGCTGGGGGGAAGGCAGCGTGCAGCCGGGATGCAGGATCCCGCTGCCTTTGCTCCTGCTGCTCCTTTTCCTGGGGCAGCGTCCGGCGGAGCGGCTACGGGAATGCAACCAAGGGAAAAGACAAACCCCAGGGGACATGTCCAAGTATTAGAGTCCCCTATAGCTTCACATACAGCATGAGTACTCACTGCAGAGAGCAGATACCCAGCTCCCACGTGCGTAAAGTCCACCTTTGCATAGGTTTGGTGTCAGTGAAACAGCTTTTTTTCCCCAAATGGAAGCTTTTCCACCCAATCCCAGCAACTGCTTGTGGAGGAGCTGGGAGAGGAGATCTCGGAAGGGCTCTGGCAGGAGGACTGGATGAATCAATTCATTTTCTAAGTAAATATATTACATGCAATTTACTTGACAGAAACTCTTCGCCCTTTGAGTGAGATGCCAAAAGCCCACTGGAGAGCAGGCTATAAAAACACATCTGGCTCCTGCAAAGGGAAGGAAAAGCCCAGTTAAACAACTTCATTGCCATGGCAAAAGCAGTTTGCACAGCCGGAGCAGGAGCGAGCTGCCCGTGGAGCATCCGAGAGCTGGCGGCGCCTTGTGTGCTCAGTTAACCCAGGATCCTGGCCCTAAAAATAGCTCCAGAAGGGGAAAGTGATGCATTATTTATGGCATTCAGTGAGGAAAAGAAGGAATGAAGAACAGGAGGAGGAGGAGACCCAGGCCCACCATAGAGAGCATCAGCCCCCCTCGCCCTCGGCAGCCTGACCCATGCGCTAATGCACCGTGCCATAGAAACCACCCGGTGTTTAAAAGACGTTTCCCCACGTGTCCGATGACAGCTTCAGATTTAGGGCAGCTCAGCTGCCAGCACCTCCGAGTCGCTCATAAACAATATATGAGCTGCCCATACAGCAGGTGCCGCTGCGGTTGGTCTCCAGCTGCCCGCAGGATGGCCAATATCCCATAGACCGCACGTGGAAAAGCAACGGTGGTGATGTACAGGGGTGCTTGATGAAGGAATAGCCGCAAGAAGGGAAAAATAAGGCACCGTGGAACGTGCAGCCTGTTACGGGTCATCAAATGCCTTGCTGGAAGCTCGCTGCAGTCAACAGGAGCATCTTGAAGCACTTCATCAGCCACCAAGTCAAGCTCCGTGATTTAGCATACGTTATCCGACCAAAGCTGTGCTCCTATTACAGTGCCTCGATTAAGCGGAAGATATCTGCCATGCTAAAACCCACTGGAGAATTCCCCATTCCTCCCTATGCAGGGGCTGATCCCCCTAAGCTCAAGGGCCGATGATGAGATGCCTCCTGACAGTTCTTAACCACCCTGCAGCCCATTCCCAGTGAGGAGGCAGAAAAGCTGGGCTGGGCATCCAGCGGAGCCAGACATCAGGAGGAATCACTTTTCACAGCTACGGTGTCACCAGACAGCAGATGGGTGAGCTTGCAAGTTCCTTCAGTCTTCACAGCCTGAAGTTTCAGCAGCACCACGACCACAGGCTCTCTGAATAGAGCATCTCTGGTTCTCATCCTTCTGCTGAGAAATAACATCCCCAGACCATTGAAGCAAGGTGCTTCAGTGCCTTTCCACATTGGCCTTAATGGGGAAGGGATCTGCCAGCCTAACTCCCTGCTCCGGTGTTATTCCAGGGAGATGCAGCTCGCTCTTCCTGCCCTCCAGCATCTGCTCACTGCTTTGCAGGTCACAGAATCACAGGAAGGTTTGGGTTAGGAGGAACCTTGAAGCTCACAGCTGATTTCTTCCTATGGAATAAGTCAGTTCTAGAGCCCCCATCTGCCCTTGGTGCCTTCCCAAACTCTGCAGCCAATACACCCTGCTGCAAACATGGGGACCCAGAGCTGCACCATCCCACAGACACCCAGCCTGCAAGGAGCGGTATTCCAATTAAAGCCTGGAAACTGGCTGCTCCCCAAGCAGCTCTTATTTAAATGACGTGAATCATAGCACGGTAGCTCAAAGCCAACATCCCACATGCAACTCAGGGTCCCCACAAAGAGCCCCCGGCAGGAAACAACGGCAGCATCCAGCTCCTGGCGCTGCGCATTGCTCCCACCTCAACAGCGCTTTGGGGGCAAAACCTTTTATTTCCCAGCACAAAGCACATTCACAAGCCCCATATCTTCTGCAACCCCCCCACTCCCACTGCGCTGCAAGAGCTCTGCTCCAAGAGCAGCAGCTTCCAACTGGAAATCTGCAAGCCCAAACAAACTTATTATAGAAACTGGAACAAATGGCACAATCAAAGTGGGGGGGGGAGCTTTTGCGTTTGAAGAGATTCATTTTTTAGCTGCAAATCCTTTTGCAGTCTCTCATTTAGCAGAAGCAGCTCCTTAAGAGGTTTTTTTAACCAGTGGAAGAGCTTGAGCAGTCAGCACACACACCTGTGGCACCAGGTTCAAACCAAGCACGTTTGCCTAGTTCAAACACCCATTCCAACTGGAGAAAATGGCCTTTTTTATCCCCCCCACCCATTCAAAGCCCACCAGGAGAGCACTGGATAAAAGGTTAGGGTTTCCCTGGTGTGCAGCCTGCAGAAGAGGGCAGGACTTGGGAAAGGGGGGATTGCGCCGAGACCCATGGGCTGGGAACCTCCTGATTGACGTGAAAACTGGAAGCAAAAAGCCCAGGTTTGGTGTTGACTCCATCCAACACCACCCTACATGCGTGCCAGAGCCCCACACGCATGCTGTTGTCCCACTGCTAACCAAAGGGGTGCCCTGTTCCTGCCCAGGTAGCAGCCAGGAACCAGCTTTCTATCCTCCCAAAGGCTTTTCTGTCCCCTAAATATCATTTCCCCTCCCTCATTTTTAGTGCACATAAATAGCCATCCAGTTCATCCCTCTCCCTTGCACATCTCTAGCACTAAGCAGCATCTTTCTTACGATTACACGCACTTCAAAGTGCCCATCCCTCTGGCCTTTCTAACTTCAAAGAGCAGGATAAAACGCTTCAAATTGTTAAAACATGGGAGAAAAAAGAACCCAAAAGAGGAGTAATTGAAGCCAGTGGCAGGGAGCTGGCTAAGCCCAGCATCGCTGCTCCTGGAAACAGCCCTGCAGAGAGCAAGAGCATCCTTCATCGGCCTAAGAAATACGAGTTAGGAATGATGGAAGCAAGGTATGAGAAGGGGGCAATACACTACGTCTGAAACGCTTAACGTGCACCTGAGACAACAGCACTAAACCAGTCCCTTGGGAACACAGTGTCTGCCTGGCCCCATAAATACAGCTTGGTGGAAGAGAAAGGCGAGGGCTGTGGGAGACCTCCCCTGCTATCAGATCACCTCCTGCCTGCAGCAGGAGAGGGTCTCGCAGGGATGCAGCAAGGGCTGCTGCAGGCTGAGGGACCGCTTCAGGCTGGGGTGAGTCCTAAATAGGATAGAAACCCCCAGGGCCACAGCACTGGCATTTTCCCAGCAACCTGGATTGTCCCTCATGATCTCGGGAAACAGGACTTCACAGCAGGGCAGGCACGGTTGGACTTTGTTGTGTTGAAATATTCATTGCCACTCTGCAGAAACCAATGGCTAAAGACGTGCCTAATGGCTTTCAAATAGCGTCGGGGAGGACATTTAATGCAGCAGAGAAAGAGCTGCTGCAAGGGGTGGAGAAGGGCCCGATGCAGGGCATCAAGAGCTGGGTGAGCCCCATGCGGCAATGGGCCCAGCCACAGCTTACATGGCAAAACAGGAACTGAAGTAAAACACAAAGGAGGTCAGGGAGTGCCTCCAGAACGAAGCACTGACTTGCCTCCGTGGGGAAATCGGGTGCCTTAAAGGGCTGAATATGAAATTAAGGCTAAGTTTAATGGTAGAAAAGAGGCACGAAAAGAAGCCAAGCTGCAGATTAAATAAAACATAATTAAAACCAGGACGAAAAATTAGAAGCAATTTTCTGCCCTGACAGGCGCACGGGTAACCAAAGGTAAAAGCATCAGCTGGGCTTCTACAGCTCCACTTTCAAAGCTCGACCTCCACTGAGAGCCCTATGGAGGGAAGATGCTCAAGGAGGTCAGAGGATTCATGCATTTCAAAGTATCCCAGGCTAGCACATCATCCCAGGGGCTTGTGCCTCCTGTGATCTGTTACAAGGAGACTCATTCCAGTCTGAGAAATAAGAGAGGAGAGGTTTTGTGAGGGGGAAACCAACACAGAAATGCAAGCAGCTTGTGAGCTGTCTGCTGGCCATGAATGAACCTCATCTCTTCTAGAAGCTGGCATCTCAGGAGACGTTTCTGTCTGCCTCCAGCACCCCCCCCTGCCCTTCCCAGCCCCTGTGTTTCTTTTTGTGTTGTCTGAACACAAGGAAGAAGATACCAGCCTGTGGTCCCCAGAGAGCATCTCTGCTGCAGGCCACCGGGGTTAATGACTTAATCCCCTGGCACTCCAGCCATCTGCTCCGGCGTTATGCATGTGTCACCCCTGCAATAAGTAGCCAAATTAAAACACAACCCTGCTTGGTAGCTGGTGCTCTTGGAGGAAAGGTGAGAGGCTGTGACCCACAGGGAAACAGTCACAGCGTTGTCCTTTGAGAGGCAACTGGAGGGAAGGGAGCCGCTGCGGCCAGGCAGGGGCACAGCCACGTCCAGGAGCGATGTGTCGCATCAGCCCTGGGAGAACCAGCTCCGTGCCATGAGGTGCTCCTCAGAAATGGCAATTTCTGACTTTGGATGGGGTTTAAGGTATTTTCTTTGATGCCGAGAGCACGATGGAACCTCATTAGGCAGCAGAGCAGCCTCGGTGGGTTACTGATATAGGCATAAAACGGAGCCAATTAGTGCCTGCATATGCTCCCGTATCAGCTGGGAGGCATGGGCTCCTCATGCACCACAGCTGGAGCATCACCACCACAGCAGGAGACAGCACAGAGAGACCCCCCCACCTCAAGCAAGAGCCCAGGCCAGGCAGGGCAGGAGAAGGGAAGGGAGCGGATCCATCCCTGCTCCAAGTCCACTTTGCCTTCTGCTCCTGCTGCCAGCCGACTTTCAGCTCTTGTGCTCCTGAAGTAGCCCAAAGGATTATCCTAATCCCCAGACAGTTGTAAAGTCCTTCGTCAGCTTGCACTCTGTCACTGTTTAAGGTGATTTCAGCTCCTGTTATCCTTCTCTGCGCTACGAGACAATGACCCAGCCAAAATAAAAACACACACCAAAGTGTCCCTGTCCTACAGACCTCATCAGCATCCAGCCCACGTCTCCCGCGGGCCTCCGTCCATCCCCAGCGCTAAAAATACTCTTTTGCTAGATTAATTTGAGCTGGGTTTGACACAAAGACCAATTCCACAAACATCTTCTCAACAAGCAGCATCGATTTGTTCTCACCCTGCCCTGGCTGGCGGAGGTAAGGGACTCATGGGACGGCGGATACAGGAGAAGGGACATGAGAGGGCAGGAGATGGATGGCATTAGATCAGGGGGGACTTCAAAGCATGAGGAGGTTCATTTGCAGCCAGCTGGAGACTTTGTGATTGCTCAAGTATTATACATAAAGCTCAAATGCACACAAAACCGCATCCACTCACAAGACAACTCCAAGTATTTGCCGCATGTCCCCCCTTTGGAAGGCACGTTCGTTTCATGTAAGCTATTCCTTACATTAACCTAACGCAGGTTTTTAATGGATCTTCCCTTCTTTTATCTCTCACACTATGGAACATCCCAGAAAACCAGGCTTTCTGGGAGCACCTCCCTGACCAAGGGACACGCTCAACCCCTGCATCCTGCCGGAGGCCACCCTGGCAAACCCGGATTGCTCCCTAATATAAGGAGCTATCCCGGATAATGCCCCAGCAGCTCCTGACCCTGTACGAGACTGATGCAGACACCGTCCCCTGCTCCTGTAGCTGCACATCCGACAGCTCCTGTTGTGCAAGCCAACAAACACAAAGGAGCTGGCACAGCTCCTGCTTCGCCTACGCGCAGGAGGCGAATCAGCTGCGCCTGCACATCCGCCAGCCCTCCCCTGCTCTACTCCGAGCAGGCACCAAGTCCTCCACCGGCTTTTTCATGAATGAGGAGGAGAGAACCTCCTCCAGCTCGCATAACGAGGGGAGAAGGGAGAGTTCCTGCACGTCTGCAAGCAGCTGCAGCGGTGCACGATGCAGAAGCAGCTCTCTCCCCCCCACTGCTGAAGTTGATGTAAGCATAAGCCAAAGAGCATCATCACGTTGGGGAGTGACTCTTATCTTGTAAATGGGCAAAGCTGGGAAAACGCTGGTTGTAAGCACTTTCTGGGAATGAATCACCACCATTCATAGCTGCTTTCACCTGCTTTCTACTAGAAAGCCGGGAGGGGAAAGAAGGGAATGTTGTAACGTGAAGCTGGGGTGCTGCCCTGTGCCCAGGGAGCAGCACATCCATGGGGCACACGCTGAGCCCAGGCAGTGTCAAGGCAGCATCTGCCTATGCTGTTCACAAACCAGCTCCCAGCAAAGCAATTCTAGAGACAAGTAAATAAGCCCAGGACTTCAGAGGCCGTGGGTGCATTTGGAGCATCCCGGGACTGCATCGCAAACACACAACGTTGAAGTGTTACCAAGCAGCTGGGGTGATGGATGAAAGCTTTCTGAGTGCAGGCAGGTTATAGAATCCCAGCCTGGTTTGGGTTGAAGGGACCTTAAAGCTCCTCCAGCTCCAACCCCTGCCACGGGCAGGGACCCCTTCCACTGGAGCAGCTTGCTCCAAGCCCCTGTGTCCAACCTGGCCTTGAGCACTGCCAGGGATGGGGCAGCCACAGCTTCTCTGGGCACCCTGTGCCAGCGCCTCAGCACCCTCACAGGGAAGAGCTTCTGCCTGAGAGCTCATCTCAGTCTCCCCTCTGGCAGGTTAAAGCCCGGTCCTTTCACCAAGCAGCTGCCCTGCAGAGCGATGCTCCTGTTGGCTGGGGGAAGCCATCCCCGAGCTAAGAGAGGCTTTGCCACTCTCTGAGGCAGCAGAGAGCTCAGTGCCTGCCTGGACCCGAGCATTTTCCCTGCAAGGAAAAAACTCAGCAGTCGATGCTTAAGCTCAGCAAGAATAAAACGCTGCTCAGTAATGAGGAGAGGCGTGATGCCTGACGAACAGGATTACCGTGATCCCCTCCGGAAGCCATCCCCAGCACAGCAAGCCAATACCTGATTATCAGCATTGCTTCACCCAGCACCTTTGCCCAAGCGGGGTAGAGATGCAGTAAAAGCAAACACGGGCACTACTTGCCCTCTGCTCTATGCTGGGTGCTTCCAGCACCATGGATGCCCCCAGCACCCACCGCTGATATTGGGTGATTCGCTATGGATGCGGTTGGGGCAGCACCAGCACCCCTGGTCCCAACACACGGCCAGCCCTGAGGCATCACTCAGACGTATTCAGCTTTGCATTCAGCCTGTTTCTGGGTGGCAGGAAGGGTTAACCACAGAGACACGTGGCTGGGAGAGGGCAATGGATCCATCAGTGTTCCCAAATCAAGACAAAACACATTTTGGTGAGCTCTAGCTTCGCCCACACTCACAGGTGCTCGGGCTCAGAACTGGACAAACAGCTCCTCAAAAGGAGATGCGATTAATGATCCCTTCTGGACCAAACAAAAGTGGATGAGTTCCTGGTCCAGGGCACGGCAGCACACGGAGCAGCTCCTTCCCCCGCTTACAGGTTCCTCCTGGCCGAGGACCAATGCCAGCTCCAAAAGATCCCCCGCAGGCTCCCTTGCAGGAGAAACACTGCACTGCAGTAGCTGCTGGCCAGGAAAGCAGCCAAGTGATTGTCTCCCCCACCAGCACCAGCACCGCTCGTGGTCCTTCCCATCCCACCGGCACCGCGGTGCCGCCGCGGCCTTACCCGATGCGCTCCTGCTCCATCTCCTCCATCTTCTCGGCCCGGGCGATGACTCGGTTGATGATCTCCTTCTCCTCATCCGTCAGCTCCACGCTCTTGCGCTGCTGGTCGGGTTGGCCGCCCCGCGCAGTCCAGCCAGCGGGGACCCTGCAGAGAGAGGGGGAAACATCATACATGTGCACACACACGTGTAGGCGGGCGATAGCCAGGCACCGATTCCCAAGCGCTACATCCCCATCCTCTAAGCTTTCATCTAGCAAATAACCCCGTCCATGGTGGGAGCTCTTATTTCCATTTTGAGATGGGTTTCATATGGAAACACTCATTTCCTATGGAAAAACAAACTTCCCTCGCAAAAATATCCTTGTTTCCGCATTAAGCATCAACTGACACAGTTAAGCTGGCCCCCTGCTCCCAGCAGGTTTGCCAGCGCGCTGCCAGGGTGATGGCCACAGGAATGGCTCTTGGTTTGGGTACATTTTGTCAAACACGGGAGTTTTCCCTCTCCTGACATCATCCCAAAGATCCTTTAGCAGAGCGAGTGCAGCCGGGGTGTCAGGCAGCTTTAACCTGGGGGCACGGGACCGTCTGCCACTCAGCCTGGCAAATTAGCAAGTGGCAGAGGGGAAACGCTAACCAAGGCTGCAAAAGCAAACACCTCTCCTCCCCTCATCTTTCTGCTCCTCGGAAGACCTTCCCTGGCTGTCTTCCCCCTGGGCTGAGCAGACCGGCACAGTCTCAAGCCTTAGATTCATTAAAACCCTGTGCAACGCTTCCCCACATTAATTGCTTTTTCCTTGCATCCAGAGCAAGGTTTTTCCTCTTCTCTCAACACCATCAGAGCAGCAGGTAAAGAGCAATAGGACAAATAAAGCAAGCGAGATACTTACTGCTCCTTCTCGCTGCTGGGAGGCACGGGGGAAAAGAGGGAACAAGGGTTAGGTGAGAGAAGGGATGAGGACAGCGCTCCCCACCTCAGGGTGATGATGCCCATCAGCACGTCCCTCCCCATGGATACCTGCTGCTCCGTCAAAGCAATGTGAAGCAGTGAGATCCAAACACGAGCATCTCCCAGCCCCCGTACTGCCCAGGCACCCAAAACCAGCACCCACCCATAGGGGACAAGGGTCTGCTGCAGCGGGATGCAGCATCACCCTGCACGGTGGCCCCATTGGAGGGCATGAGGACAGACAAACAGGGTTCCTCAGAGGCACTGGGGCGCTGCATGCCCGTGGATCTGTCCCCACCACCTTTCACTGTGGCTTAGGAGGCAACATGGCAAAATGCCCCCATCCAATGAACGCAAACCCAATTCCCAATATGCCCAGAGGAAGAACAAGGTGGGCGCACCCCCAACACATCCCACCCCTGGGGACTTCCCTTCCTCCCTCCCTCCTGCCCCAGCAGCATCCCGCAGCGCCCAGTCCCTCCTCTTACCTGGCCCTGAGAGACATGGTCCTGTCGCTGGGGCACATCCACCGGTCAGAGCTGCCTCCCACCACCGCGTCGGTCATCGCCGGCTGCCGCGGGGATGCAGGAGCACCGGTGCTGCACCGCTCAGCCTCGGCGCACCGGGGGGCTCAGACACCAGCGATGCCTATGGAGGTGTCCTGCTGCTGCCAGGCAGGCTGGAGTGGGGGGGACAGAACCAAACCAAACCCCATCAAATCACACCGGGCTTTGGTTTTGGCATTGAGGAGCAGGGAGAGGAACAGGAATGTCGCTACAGTCACTGTCTGGATGCTGTGCACGGGATGCAGGAGCCTACAGGCAGAGCCCTCCCAGGAGGGCGATGCAGCCGCACTCCACGTGGATGTAATTAATGAGATACCCGACCTCACATTAATTACGAGGCTTCAGAGCTGGGAGGGAAGAGGCTGCTTCTGTTTCATAAGAAAACCTACGAAGTAGAAAACTTTCTCCCCCGAAACCACATCCCCCTCGGGACCAAAACTCCTCTTTTTCAGCTTTGCAAAATGAAGCCGGGAGAGGAGCTGAAGGAGGATGTGGCAACCATCGTGTGATAACAGGACCCGAACGTGGTATTCTACTTATCTCCAAAAGACTCATCACGAGAGGGACCTCTTCAAACCCTTCTCCTTTCAGCAAAACTGACAGCTTTTGTTAAACCCCACATTTATTCAGTTTATTCCCATTTTCTGGGGGTGTTTTACCCCTCCACCCACCACGTGGGGATGGGGAACGGATGGCAAAGCCCAAGTGGATGCTGACCAGCATCACCCATGGCACAGGGATAGATCCATGTGTCCCACCATCTCAGGGATAACCAGTGCTTTTACACGGGTGAACGCTGCACACAGAGCAGTTCCCCAGCCAAGGGGAGGACAAGGTCCCTCCCAGTGCACAGCCCATGGGGTACCAGGGGATGCTGCCATCACATTGCAGGCCATTGCCACACCTGGACCACCTCGGGATGGTCCCCAAGAGCAGAGGGCGCATCTTGTGGGTCTGTGGACAGCATCACCCATGAGACATCACTTGCAAAGGGAAAAGCTCCGGCTGAGCCTCCCTTTAAGGTGGAAATAAGAGAGAAAAGGCAGCCCCTCCATGAAGGGCTTGGCTTTGCTGCAGTGCTGACTAGAGCACAAGGCACCAAGGAGGACACAAACCACCCCTCTCTTAGGGCCTCCTGATGATGGGGGATGTTCCTACAAGCTCAACTGCTCCCCACCTGCAGGTTTCCCCCTTCCCATCACCTCCACAGAGCCGGGATGGGATTCCTGCTGGGATCCCCCCGCTGCAGCAGCCTCACGCCTGCATTGCTCGCAGCACCTGCATTTGAATTGCTTCCTCCTGCCTGCAGCAGAGCTGAAGCAAGCCCACAAACCCCTCTGCAGAGCCCAAGGGCCATTCATCCTCCCAGGCTTGCTGCCCTGGGAAGATGCTGCCCCAGATTCCCCCCTGGCTCAGCCACCCATGTCCCAGCACCAAAGCAGCATCCTAGAACTGCCAGCAGGTCCCAGCAGGACCAGAGCACAGCCCAAAGGCAGGCAATGCACCTTCCCAGGGCACAAAGCCACTGCAGCTCCCAGCAAAACTCCAACAGCGGCACTGGGGAGGTTGCTCCGAGGAGGAGGTGTTACATGGGCTCTTGCAAAGCTGCCCCACTGAAATCCCAAACACCAAGACAGGGAATAACGCGTAACTTTCCCACAAAGGGGAAAGATGTAACTCCCAGCCTCCACTTCCTGCTCCACAATGGTGCAGGGTTTCTCCATCACTCCCTGAAGAGACAGCAGAGATCTAAGGCTCACCTTTGCTTCACTGATAACTTCCAAAAATACATAAAAAAAAGGAATAGAAGTGAAGCAGGTGGGGTGACCGGTGCTCTGCTGGTCTCATCCCGCCACTATTCCTGTGCCAAACCAGGAGGCTCCGAGGGACAAGATCAGTTAAATAAGCAAATTGTTCATTTCAGACCTCACCAGCACCTCCCCAACCCACCCTGCAGCAGCAAACCCCTGTTGGGTACCACCAGGAGCTGAGGGGTCCCGTGGGGCTGGACACAGATTTAACGGGGTGCACCGGGATGAAGGGCAGCGCCGCCAGCATCCATCTGTGGGGAGGTTGAAGGTGGATAAAGCACTTGCCCAAGGTCACGTGGAGCAGGATGCAAGGAATAGGGGTACATCCCTGGTTTTGCCTAGCAGAAAGGGGAGAGCCATCTCCGGCAGCGGGCAGGAAAACTCCTTCCCCAGCTAGAACTTTCTGCTTGTAACGGAGAGGCTGCGGGTGTTTCGCTTTGCTGCACATGGAGGAGAGCCCGGGGATGCTTCCTCCAGGAATACACAAGCCTTTCCCTCCGCCTATAAATAATAGATTCTGAAGCTCTACTTTGCATTACTTCCAGCAACTACTCCTGCTTGTCCTAATGCTTCCTTCTGCATTTTTAGTGCACCGTAAAGAGCAAAATAACAGCTTACGGTGGCTTTCCCCCCCCCGCCTCCCTTGCTCGCAGACAAAAGGCTGTGGCAATCCAAGCTGTGATCGATGGGATGCAGCAGCGTTTCGTTAACGCAATGAAAACATCCCATCCTAGAAGGAGGCCCACACCTTCCAGGGTTGGGCTGTCCCCAGAGGGTCCTAGGACCTGCTCCCCCCCCCAAGGTCTGCCATCAGCAGGGATGTGAGGAGCCCTCTCATTCCCGATTCCCAGCGGAGGCTGGGAGGAGTGAGGCGGCAGAGCCAGGAATAGAAGCAGGATCTTAATTTCTGGCCTTAAGGAAGAGGCACATGACTCTAATCACACTGCTCCATTACTTCTGTATGACGGAGCCCATGAGTTTGATCATGCCTTAATAAAAAGGGGTTGAACACCTCCCATGAATCTCTGCCTCTCACCGAGCCACAGGTCATCCCGCTTGCTCCGAGCCGAGAGGTGCCGATTCACGGGCTCATCCCAGCCCCCAAAATCCAGCAGTCGCAGCATCATCAACCAGCAGATCCCAGCCGCCCTGGGTGGGCAGGGAAAGGCAGCGGGAGCCCCATGGCACGAGCCCGTCCTGCCCCATGGGCACCAGGAGGAACACGGGGCCGCTGGTACCCTAGGCAAGACCTGAAGCCACTCACAGTGTCCTCACCAGCCAGGCATCTGCAAAGAGCCTGCCCAAACGCACTGGTTTAACCATGTGGAAATAACATAGCGGGGTAGGAACCAGAACACTCCTTGTTGTGAAGCCTCCCAGTGCAACCATCAGGTTTGGATGGTGAGCTCAACACCTTGCACTTGGCGCCTGCAGAGATCGTCTCCACCAGCAAAGACACTGACACAGGCAACCTATTTCTCCAGCCTTCTCAGCTCTGCAATGCAGCTTTCTTAAATATTGAATAAGTCTGCTGCTCCACACCACCTGCCAGTGCCAATGATGAGGTAATTTGTGCATTGACAAAGCCTAATGCCATTAATCCGGTTCGAAAGAGCAGGTTTCGAGCCCGTCCACTCAGCCGGCCCAAACGCGCTTGCGAGGGGCATTGCCGACAGCTTGGTACCCAACACCGGCAGGCAGCCCCCAAGCAAGCAACCCAAACTGCTGCTCGGGTGCCAAGGGGAGCAGCATCAGCACCAAACAAGAGGTTTGGAACTCGAATGGATCCAAACGCTACCCTCTGTCAGGCTGATGGGGTTTGCATGCCAGCTCTGATGCATAGGAGCTGGTTTATGCACCCCAGCTGAACGGGGAGGGAAAAGCAGGCTATGAGCATGCGGTTGCTGATGGGGCAGAAGGGGGGGGGTGTTTTAGGGTGACCCAGTGGGAACCCCCCAGCAGATGCAGAGGCCGGGATGCACCAGGAGCCTTGGGATGGGAGCGGTGCCCCCCGCCACCCAGCACAGGCATCCCCAAACATCCTTCCTAGCTGGAGCTCTTTCCCATTCACCACCATCTCACAGGTCCATCAGGGTCTGATCCTGCCCTCCCCAATGCCCCAGCACCAGGGCTGGTGCCTGGCACCCCAAAGAGCCATGCAAAGCGTAGGGGACCCCAGGTCCTCACCGGAGACCTGGTACGGACACCTTGCACCGTGCCTGGCTCTGCCCTGAGCATCTCTCAATGCCTGGGCTCTTCCTTTGCCAGGAAAAACACAGGAGCCACACACACCCCATAGCATTCCCTATGGAGCGGGTGCCTGGCTATAGGGGCCACAGAGAGCTGCCTGAGCAGACAGCACATTACTCAGCCCCCTCCAGGGTCAGGCAGGATTTGGTACGAATGGATTTAAATGCAGAGGAAGGGGGAAAAAAGGTGTGGACAGCCCCAAAAGAGGGAATGCTGCAAAGCAATCGGCAGAGCAGAGGGGCAGCCCAGCCCCATGCACCAGAATTCCCTCAAATCCCGAGGTAACCAGCATCCACACTTTGCCTCATCCCCCAGGGAAGCTGGTTTAGAAAGTTCAGGTGGAACTGGGGAAGCTCCTTTACAGGTGTTGCTTCAGGAACAGAAAACGCATTTGAGGCTTTATAAAAGAGCAAGAGGAGAGGCAGACCCCAGCAAACACGGGTAAGTGGGGAACTGAAGCTGCTTGGCCTGGATCCCACAAGGAATACCTGGACAGGTATGGGACTGGGGCACAGGACAGCAGGACAGTCACCCTATGGCAGGTAAAGCACCCCATGGCCCTCAGCCATAGCAGTACAATTGCCCATGCTCCCGTAAGGATCCATGTGTCCCAACCACATGGTGAAAGATGGCATAAAGCGGGATCAGATCCCAGGGAATGGAGCCCTCCGGCTGCACTGCGGCAAAGCAAAGGCTGGGGTCCTGGAAATCCAGCCTTTGGGAAAGAGCCAGCAGCAGAGGGCTGCAGACCTGGGGTCACCATGTCCTTCAGCCCCATACCAGAGCCTCGCAGGGAGCAGAGGCCCCACAGCTTGGCACCAGTTGGTTAATGGAGGCTAAACATGACCCTGCAGGTAAGTGACGGTGATGGCCACAGGCCATAGGTGAGGGTGACCCACAGGCAAGAAATGCAAAGCAACACAAGTCCTGGCCATCATCCTGGTCCTGATCCCACAGCCACCCATCCCCAGGGCACACCAGGATGGGACCACCAGGAGCTGGCATGCTGCTTGCTGGCACAGTGCATTCACCCACACTGGAGCCCACAGGGATGCTCCTGCCTCCGCTATCCTCCAGCTAAATCCAGCAACAGAGCTGGGAGCCCTCCCAAATGCCAACGCCTTCGGTTTGGCCAATGCCTCCACTGCCTTTAAATTCACATAAGGTGCTGAGAGAAGCCTTTTTTCGTTCCCTCCCCCTTAATTCCCAGCTCCCTGTCATCCTCCAGACACAGCTCCATCCCAAGGCAGCTGAGCAGGAGCGCACAGTCAGTTTTATTTAAGCAGCACGTTGATGTTTCCTCCAGCAGCTCCTTCCCAAACCAAACACTGTTATGATGCTGTCAGGAGGATTTACTCCCGCTGTTTAATTGTGGGAAAGACAATGGTGGAGGGGGAAACATCACTTTGGGGTTTATGGGACTTACCTGGGGCTGGGGGTCCCCATCCGGGTGATGCCCAAGTGCACCCCAGTGCTGTGAAACGCGGTGATGGTGCTGCCATCGCTCCTCTCGCCGCGGCAGAGCTGCTCCAAAGGCTGCTTAGCAACAGATCCCTACACGGCTCCGGCACACCGCCCTCCATTCGGGCACTGCCAGGAATGGGGCGCGTGGCAGGAGCCGCCGGGATGCAGCAGCCCCATCAGGCACAGGGACCCCCACACGATGGGAGCAGCAGCAGCAGGAGTTAAGCTCGGTGATGGGAGAAGGCTGGGAAGCAGCTGCCAGCCTGAAGAGGCAAAGCGTGCTCAGAGGTGGCAGCTCCTGCTCGCTGCAGGGTCAGTTCCCGAAGGCAGTGACAGTGCCTGCAGGATGCCCCAGGCAGTGGTCGAGGACCACGGCATCACACAAGAGCACGTGTCCTGTCCCCAGACCACGGGTAAAGGATGCCCAGTGCTGCAAGCCTGCCCTCACTGGGGGTAGCAGGGGTGGCCAACCAAGGCCAGGCACCCAAGCCAGGTCTGAGCAGAGGATGTGCTCCCAGCGCTGCATCCTGAGAGCCATGAGGAGCCCAGCCACCATCGGAGAGGAGCATGCAGCCACCCCAGCACAGCATCTGCACCACCCTGCGTGATGCTGGGCTCCCAGCTTCCAGGTAAAGGCAGCTCCTTTCCCTCCCCACACACACTTGTTAAGTACCTGCTTTCACACAGACCTGTCCCCCCATCACCAACATATCAGCCCCAAACAGGAAAGCCCGTACCCACCTCCTGGGGCTGGAGGGGAGTGGTGCTGCTCGGACACATGCAGGTACGGACAGGGATGGAGCCAGAGCATCTCCCAGCGCTATAAACCATCACGGTCAATAGCCCCAGCCTCCAGCTTAACGGGGATGGGGGAATGAATCAGGCTGCCCCTGGGGGCACGGCTCCCTGCCCAGCCCTCAGTGCTCAGCTGGGACATCCGGAGGGATTCATTACCTATCAGCGCTAATTGGCAATGACTGCAGTGACACCCGCACTTGGCTGCAGGCGGCAGGAGCCGGCAGAGGGGCACCGCTGTCAGCACAGCCCTCAGCGCCTGCAGCAGACACAGATCATCTCCATCCCATAGACGGGGTCCCATAGAAAGTCCCTCAAAACTTAAGCACCAAAAGAGACTCGGGAGCTGTGAGTGTCCTTACTCCTCTTGGCAGTTCTCCTCCCCTTGTCCTTTCCCAACCCGGGGAACGTTTAACACCAGCTCGCACACAGAGGCACAGCGGAGTCCCGCAACAGGCTCCCGGGTTTCACCCTCGCTGCAAAGGGTTGTCCGCACAAACCCCATGCTTTTTCTGTGCTCGACGTGCTTTTTTGGCTCTCCCCAGTGCAAAAGCAGGACTGGCAAGGAGGAGAAAGCAGCCCAGCCGGCTGGAGCCAGCACCAAGCAGGGGATGCTCTTTGCACCCCGGTGGGTTGCTCTTAACGGGTCTGATGCAGAGGGGCTTCATTGGAAGCTCATCCCGCAGGACCAGGCACACAGGCGATGGCAAACGGCTCCCACCGCATCGCCCGGTACGGCAGAGTCCTGCGGGGCTGCTGCGGAGCAGCATCACGGACCAGAATCACCCACCAATGCTGCTCTGCTGGGGGATCCCAGCAAAGAGCCCACAGGATGCTACAGCAACCCCCAGTTCAGCAATGGGGCTCCGACCCCTGGCTCCGTGTACCCCATGTGGCTGATCCCCGTGGAAGGGCTGCACACGGATCTCCTGAGTCAGCCCCTACAGCAGAAGCAGGCAGCTCGCTAAATCCCTACCAGATGAATGATGCATCATCAAATAAAGCCCAGTATCACAACATTAACAATATTTATTTTCAGGCTAAGCTGCAGCCTGGGCTTTTGATACCAGTAATTAAAGCAAATGGTTCATCTGTTATCATCTTTGCATCCCTGGAGCCAACTGTCCGTGATTTGAAGCCCTGTATTATCTTTTCTTTATTGCAGCCTCCAGGGAAGGGGAGGATCAGACTGATCCAGACACACTTTCTAGATCCCAGGAGTGGTGGAGCATGGTCCAAGCCCAAAACAGAGCCACATTCAGGCAGCCACCTCACTCAAAGCCTTTTAGCAGCGAGATGAAGAGCGTTAATGCTCAAAGACAAATTGCTGCTTCACTTTATACCTGAAACCAGAATGAGCAGAAAGACACCAGCAAGAGAGATAACCGGGTCCCCTCCCTGAAGCAACCTGTCAGCAGTGAGCAGCCTCAGCCTGTTTTCCAAGGTGGCTGGGTTTGCCTCTGGGAGGTTTCAGGCTACGATTCCAAGTAGGTTTTAATGCTGTTTGCATCGCTTTGTCCACCCTGGGAAAGGAGCAGAGAAGGCACCTGCTAAAGGCCCTGAGCGGGGTGGTGATGCTCTCTTAGAGTCCAAACAGGGAGGAGAAAACCCAACGTGCCCTCACAGCTCGGGCCGGGGTGGTCTCCGCATCCCATCCCTGCAAGGTACCGAGGGAAGGGGCTCAGCTCCCAGCACTGCCCACACTCCAGCGACAAGGACAAGAGCATCAGGGGCTTAAACCCCCAAACGTCCAACACGCTCTGAAGTCGCCCGCACACAGCGAAGTCCAAAAGCAGCGACCACATCCTCCCTCCGCCTGCAAGGACGCGCCCGAAGGGGCGATGCCAGCCCCAGCCCCGAGCTCCAGCACCCGCGGCCGTGGGGAGCTCACACAGGCTCCCCGATAACTGCCTCTGCCCGAGCATCCCCGCATCCGCACCCCAACCCCGGCTCCACCTCCGACCCCCTCCTGCTCCCCCTTTACCTGGGCCGGGGTCCCGCCGGGCTCGGCCCGGGCGCAGCGCGGCTCCGCCGGCAGCACTGCGGAGCGGAGCGGGAGCGGCGCGGGGAGGGGAGGGAACACGGCCGGGGCGGCCCCGCTCCGTGCCCGCCCCGGGAGCAGCCCCTTTGCGAGGCGGGGGGGACCCCCCCGGCTCCTGCAGCGAGCTGCGGGGGGGGGGGGCGGCAGCTCTCTCCCTTATCTACCCTCCATCCATCCATCCATCCATCCATCCGTGCCTCCCGTTCTCCCTCCTCCCCACCCTGTTCCATCCCTCCCCATCCTCGGGCATCTCCCCAGCCCTGCATCCCCCCCATCTCTCCTCTACATCGGGGCTCGAAGCGGGGCAGGTCCATCTCCTTGCACTGCCTGCGGCACAAGCCAAGAGTCCAACCGGGCTCCCACCGCTGGGCTCTGGGGACCCGCACTCGGGTTTAAGCAGCACACGGGACCCCCACAACCTGGCAACCCTTGCCCAGATTAAGTCTAGACCAGCCTGAGCCCCACACTCAACAGGGAGCTCGCTGGCCAAGCTCTACGGTGACTTCAGCGCTGCTCAGCCCTCCAGGAGCACACTGATCCTGCCTGCAGGATGGTTACTGCAGGGAACAGGGAAAACAGGCGATTGGGACCCAGTCCCCGAGCCGAAGCACCCATGGCTTCCTAACCCCAAAGCGGCAGCAGCCTGAACCCACCCCGGGCACCACCTTGCACTTCCCAGCCAGGGGGCTCTGACCTCCAGCAGCCTCATTTTACCTGCTCTTGGTATTCCAGTGGGGAATCACAGCACCCTCGGGCTTCCACAGCTTTCCAGAAGCTCTCGTGCCAGTTGCTCCCACATAAGAGCCACAGAGTGGGTTGGGCTTGAAAGGACCTTAAAGCTCATCCAGTTCTGACCCCCTGCCACGGGCAGGAACACCTTCCACTAGAGCAGCTTGCTCCAAGCCCCATCTCTCACCAGGTGAAGCAAGGTGAGAAGAATGGGATGGAGCTGGCCTGACACCTCAGCAGGAGCAGCTGAGTTAATAAAGTGAACAGAAGTTGATAAAGGATGGTGCAAGGTGATGCTGAGGGCGGTGAGATGTGCTCTGAGCTGCTCTGCAAGCAGGAGACCACCAAGCTTTGAGCAGCACTCAGCCACCACAATGATGTGATGCCTGGGGGGGAATCAAAGCTTCTCATTCCTACAGCTGAATGTCCGCACTTTGACAGAAATGTTTTTTAACCAGTTGCAAGTAAACCCTTCATGAAAATCCTGCTGGGTTTTTTTTGGATTTAAGAAGAAATCCCTGAGGAGACAGAAATCCCTGAAGAATGGAGCATGTTCCTGCCTCCAGCAAGGAAAACATCCCACTGCTGCAGCTTGAATGTTGACTGGCATTCCTCCGGATGCTTGATGGGCATCTTCTCCTCTTCCAGGCCCACCTATGTGTTTTTGCTTAGTGTAAGAATGCCTTGCTTATGCAAAGTAGCTGCAGAGACAAGCACAGTCCTTTCCAGCTGGAATCTTGACACCTTCCTTGGAGATTCACAACAAGAGGCAGGAATCTGAAACGCAGATCTAAAACTTGCTTCCCAGAATGGTTAAAAAGCAACCCCTGCAGTTCCCTGTGCTGGGTACCCGGCCCTTCCCCTCTGCCCTCTTTTAACCCATCATCTGAGAGAAAAGAGCTGGTTTGATTCTTGTGGAATTATAAACACACGTTGGCAGTCTGGCATCTCCTGCAGCAGATCAAAGCAAGGGAGGCTCAGTTATTTATTTCCTCCCAGGTTTATTTTTACATTCACCAGCCCTCTAATTCTCAAGGATTTCTTATATTTCCCCTTGCAATCAGGCTCAGCACGCAGCAAAATGCTCAGTTCAACCCCAAAGCCATCCTGCCCGGAGGCTCGGACAGAGCCTGGCCCATTCCCATTGATTTCTGTAGGAACAAATGAGGAATAAACCCAAGTGTGTCACTGCAGACAGCCCCAGGCATTAAATCAGCACCACAACCAGACCTGGAGGCAGCAGAGGCAGGTTCTGCTTCATCTGCAGGCATCTCCCATCCCTGGCGTCAGTCAGGGCTGGGGATGGAGCAGGGTGCTGGAAACGGCAGCTGAAGGCATCAAAACCACGGCACGTGCCGTGCTGCTGACTCAGCTCTTGCCACCCTTGCTCCGATGCTCCCGGAGGAAACTTCTCCCTCTGTTTTATAGCTCAATTAGTCGCATCTAATTGAAGTGCTGGACAGGAGATTGGGAGCAATGAGCCAGCGCCGGGCCGGGGTTGTTCCTCTGATGCCTGCAAAGTGGGGGCAGTCCAATGGAACCTGAGCTTTATAAAATGCTTTGCCTTCAATGTCTTTAATTAGGAGTGTTCCAGTGGAAATCTATAAACTCCTGGAGCCTGAGCACACCAAAGCTCTGGATAACAGAGCTGTCAGCGGCTCTGATACAGGGGAAGGCAAACCAGGAGCACACCAAGCCCTCCCCTCGCAGCCACAGCTCCAAGCAGTTGTATGAGTTGAATTAAAATGGTTGATGGCAGCTCAGGCCCCAAAAAGAGCATTTTTTGCTTCTATGAATCACTAAAAGCTGCTTCCCCCCCCCCCACCCCAAGCCCAACTGGCCACAGATCCCAAAGGATGCTCCAAGGAGCTCCAGGGATGTGACAGAAGGAAACATGCACCAGCACAACTCCTGCCTGCTCACCCTCATGTGCTCTCCATTCATCGCTCAACCCAAGTGCTTTAGGGATGACTTAGTGTTGGCGATGTGGGAGAGATGGGAAAGCTCCCACTGCCCATAACCAGCTCCTCGCTGGTAAAATCAGCTTTGGGGAAAGAGGTGGAAGTGAAAAGAGGGACAGGAGGATGGAGAAGGGGGTGATGGGCACCAAGCTGAGCTCCCCGCGCAGCAGGACAGGCCCTGGTAGCTGAAACCAGGGGGGGGGTGTGCTCAGAGCTTTGGGCACCACAGAGTCTGCACCTCCTTTTGCAAGAGGAGGAAACACCAGGATGGGAGAAAACCACCACCACCCCCCCAGCCTTGGGACCTGGGTGGGATGCAGCCGGATTCACACTATTTAATGAACACCTTGTGCCCCCCCAGCCCACCCTCTGTCCGGCTCAGGAAATGCCAAGCAAGGCACAAGCTGGAGAAGAATTCCTCGATTAATCCCCTCCATTAAATGCTGGAATAATAATGACTCAATAAAGCCATTAAAAAGGAGAGCCCTTTCCATAGTGTCAGTCCTCGCCAGCCCCATCCTGGTCCCATCCCTGTCAGAGGGGACTTCAGCATCCCACCCCCTCCCCACCCCACTTCCCACCTCACCCCCTCCCCATCACATCCTGAGGCACCCCCAGCGACCCCAAATCCCTCCGCAGCACCCCCATCTCCCCTCCCCACATCCCCCATGGTGGCACAGACAGGACCAGGCTCCCCAGCCCAGCCCCAGGGTTCGGCCCTTGCTCCCAGCAGTGCTGCACAGCCCCAAGCTCAGCAGGCCCAGCTCAATCATGTAGGCAGCTCATTACACTCTTTTAATAAGATATGTGCTAGTTTTACATTCATTTCTCGTTTCTGATAACATTCTGTCCTATATAACTGCACTATTATCCTTGGCGAGGTGAGGGGAAGAATATATCTCCTAAAAGACTGCCTGCATTAATTTTTCAGTGAGTGCCATAAAAAGATTCAATCTCCAGCTCCTCTTTTGTTAATGGGATTAGTGTCACTTATTTACTGATCTAATTAATTGGCATGTCTTCCCCTCAGCTGAATACAGGGCTTCAGAAACCCAGGGGTTTGGGCTGAGAACAACCAGGCTTCCTTTCACTTGAGAGGCTGCAAAGAGCTTGCACCTGTAAGCTTGAAATGATTGAAATTATTCCCAATAGGGCACATTAAAAAGAGGGGAGGAAGGGTTTTGTTTCCCCTTCCACCCCTGAATGAGGAGCATTGGCTGTACTACACCCTAACTAATATGTATTCAATCACACCAGTTGTCGCTGCTGGTGGCACCCTCCAGCACCGGGAAGGACCCGCTCCATTCAGGAAGGAGATGCCTGCATCCCACCGCTGCATCCCTGTGTGCCAGCATCCCCTCCAAACAACGGGGTTTATTCATTCATCCATCTCTCACTGTCCTGAAGCCCAGGGCAATGATGCTCAGGGTGTCCATGGAAGCATCCTGAGCCCCATCCCCAGGGGCTGGGGGACCGGCACCCCCCCAGCACCTCTTCCATTGCTTTATATAGGTCACCCTGTGCTCAGCAGCCTCGCTTGCGGCGGGGGAGGTTGGACTTCACACTCTTGCTCTCCGAGCTGCTTTTCTAGGTCACCAACCCACAGCGGTGCATTAAAATAGAGCCTCTCCACTTCCCATTTCCCACGGCCGTAGGCTGGGATGCTGGGGCTGTCACAGCCGCCAGCCAAAGGGGAAGGGGTGCGAGAGGGTGGCTGCAAACCCAGGGTCTGTGTGTGCCCCGTTCTCACTCCTCCACACCGGGGAGGCAACGCTGCACCTGCAGAATAAGCAGCTCCGAGGGCATTTGGGGTGGGTGCAGCATGATGTGCCCGTCCATGGGGACATCGTCAAAGCAGGGGAGCCTGAAAAGGAACCAGAGGGATGTGGTACCCAGTCCCGCTCTTGGAGGTGATGCTGTCCTCATCCCCGTGGCTCAGGGTCTCACCTCTGTGCCCAGCTGATGACAAGGATAACCACGCCATGCTGGGCTTTATGTGGAGATAACGGATACCAGTCCCCAGCTCAGCCTCCAGCAGTGATTTCTGTTCTATCCTCAATAACTCCAGCAAATAGCAATGCCCAGGCAGGTGGCCACATTCCCAGCCATGCACAGAAACCTGGAAACACTATCCCGTGGAGAGGTGGGCTGCTCCACTTTGAAGCACAGAACCATCACCCTGCTCTTATCTCGCTCCCCAGCAGCTTCCAAATGGAAGTCTTACACTGGGAAAGGAAAGCCCAGCCCAGCAGCAAGAGGCGGCTCACCGGTGGCT